TCAGGTAAAATTTTAGAGTTTTTGTTTGAGACCGCCCTGTAACTTCCTCTGGATTCCCATATGCCCACAGCTTGGCTGAAAAGATGGTAGATCCCAGCTATTCAGGAAGCTAAGGCAGGAAGATGGCCAAACTTGAAGCCAGCTCAGGCAACTTAGTGAGACCCTGTCTCAAAACAAAATTTCTGAAAGGTAGCTCAGTGGCAAAGTGCTTGCCTACCATGTGCAAGCAACTGGGTTTGATCCCTAGTATCCACCCTCACACACAAAAATGGAAAAAAGATTTCTCTAAATATTCCTTTTTCTGGTTAAATCTGATGCTCTATTAGTGGAATTAACTCAAATATAAAGATTATGAAAAGTGGAATTAACTCAAATATAAAGATTATGAAATGTTGATTTATGATGTTAGTGTTTCATAAGCTCTCCCATTCCTGATGTGGAGATAATTTGAATGGCTAATTTTCAAGCAAAGAACATCATTGGTTTAGCTCTCTTCCTTGGAAGAATTGTATCAAGGAAAAAAACATGGTTAAATGGGTTTCCCACATATTTTATTCAATCAAATTGTTAGCTAAGATATGTAATTTACTCAGAAAGTACTTACCTGTCTTACAAATGTATCCATCTGTCTTAGATTCCAAATGACAGTACTACATAGATTTGGTGAGACCAAATAAAGTGGCCACATCTTCAAGTAAAAACTTTTTTTCGTGATAATTTCTGCCAATTTCAGGAATTCAAATAAAAGTTTATATTATACTTTAAGAAGTAGATGTTTTCTTTCTTACCTTGTTTCAAGTCTTTTGTACAATACACTGTTATCTGTTCTCAACACAAAAACTATGTGAAACCAGCGTTCAGGGAAGAAATCACAACCATGGTAATCAACAATAGTTCCACCTTCTCTCATTTGGTTTTCTAACTCATCAACTACCTGTAAGATATGTTTAAAAAAAAAAAGAGAGAGATAAACACTTCCTAAGAAAAATGAGAACTTTCCTTTTAAATTAAATAAGTGCATACTTGGAAAGTCATACTTACTCTATCTTCATCTAAAATGGGACAATCATACTCTTCATCATAGCCATTATATAACTGCCCTAAAAGAGATTTATATCAGCTTATTAAAAATTTCTCCCACCACACTGGAGATTGAACTCCAGAGTGCACTACCAGTGAGCTATATCCCCAGTCCATTTTTATTTTTAGACAAGGTCTCAAAAGTTGCCCAGGCTGGCCTTGAATTTGCAATCTTCCTGCCTCAACCTTCCCAGTCACTGGGATTACAGAGGTGCACCACAGTGCCAAGTTTACCATGCAGTAATCTGGAATAAATGCTAAGGTTCCTTCATATTTTAATTCCTTGGCTCTAAAAGGCTTCTGAACTCTTTTAAAATATATGCTATCTAAAATAGACATTTATACCAACATTAACTTTAGGAATTGAAGTTTTTATACTATAATGTGGAAATGCAAAATTTCTTAAACAATTTTAATGTATTTTAATGAAGAAGTATAGTCCAAACTTTTAAACATTCATTTCCAAAACCATTTATCAAATACATGTACTGGTGACTAAAGAGATAATGAAGTATATAGTGAACAAAATAAACAAAACACAGTTCCCTCAAATAGTTCACAATAAAATGGGAGAAAACAGACGAGTCACCTGGAAATCATGCTAAAAGAGGAAAAACTTAAAGCTACTTCAAAACATTTCAGTTGAAAGCCAAATTTATAGTTGTCTATACACAGGATCTTAATACAGTCAAGATCAAAAAGCTCAATTAAATTACTTAAAATTAGAAAATTAAATCAATTTATCAAAGTTCCATGTTTATTTTAAAAATTGTTATATATATTATTTGTAGAAAACAATTGTGGGGCCAGTTTTACGATAATTCTTACCTTAAAAGACCTTTCTAGGTTTTTTTCTAATATAAATTTTTAGTTGTAGACGGACACAATATATTTATTTTTATGTGGCGCTGAGGATCAAACCCAGCGCCTCATATGTGACAGGCAAGTGCTGCACTACTGAGCTGCAACTCCAGCAACTCTAGATTTTATTAAACTATAAAATCATGTTTTAACTATCATCCTAGAACTTATACTCTCAAGTAGAAGGTATTCTTTAATCATATTGGAATACTAGATTCTTTATTTTCCTGCTGCTGCCAATACTTCCTTTGGAAGCATATTTAACCCCATTTGCCTCAATTCAACAAGCTTATAACTGTAATTAGTTTCAGTTAGAAGTCAAATTTATAGTTTGGCTATTATGAACAATTAAGTTTTTTTGTAAGGCATCTACTGGTAGAGAATTACATGTATAAAGACATGGATGTTAAAAATACCCAGAGGATTTGAGAATAGTAGTATATTGCGGGTACATTGAAGTGGAAATAAGAGAGTGGCTACAGGTAAGACTGAAGGTAAATTGTAGTGCTTGTAAGTATTATGTAAATAAAAAGTTTAAATCATGCCATTTTCTACTACCCTTACCCTTTTCTAAGGAAATCAATGAATATATAAAAAAAGAGACACTGAAGAGATTTAATAGAAAATTCTAGGCACAGTACCAATGATGGTGGGGATGGGACAAGGGTACTCATAGATGTCTCAAGAGAAACTATCAGATTTAGAGACTAAGTAGATCTGTGTGGAAGCAGGAATCAGGAGTGGACAACAAGAGTCAAGCACTTCAGAGCATGTGTTTTAAACATACTAACTTGAAGGTGTGTGCCTGGGAACTATCCAGATGGTTATGTCTAATTAGTGTCTAGAAATTGGACTGTTTTCATTATAAATCTGAATTATCAATATAAGGGAGTTGCTAGTCCTAAGTGAATGGGATTACCAGTGGGAGGGAGAGAAGAGGCCAATGGAGGAATTAACTTTAAAAGCTTCTGGTGGTAGCAATAGGTAAAAGTTAGATTCAGAGGGAGTTAGAGCAGGGATTTACCATCTTTTCTGTAAAGGGCAAGAGGCTTTGCAGGACTTCTTTAGCTTGAGTCATACAAATAGAGCAGTAACTTGTCCACTCCTGGGTTAGAGATAAAAGATTATAAGCATTGGGCCTGAGGCTGTAGGTTGTACAACATGCACGTGCACAAATGGATCCAGTGTCACCATATAACTTTGCCTAGACATAACCCTGGGATTAGGATTAGGCTATGTATACTGATTAAACCGATGGCAGGAAAATTAGATGCTTATATGACCAAAATAACTGCATATGAGAAAAGACAACAAGTAGGGAGGAATCAGAATGGGAGAACAAGAAAAACATTCTTAGCCATTTCTGCTGCTCCACAGGCTGAGGCAGGAGACTGCTTGAGCCCAATCTCTCTAGAAAGAACTTGTCCCCTTAAAAAAAAAAAAAAAAGGCAAGGAATGTAGCTCAAGGGTAGAGTACTTGCCTAATACATGCAAGATACTGGGTTCAATCCCTGGTAAACACCCCCGCCCCAAGCATTTTTATATTAACACAGGTAGGATTCCCAGAAGTTTTAAGAAGCTTAATTCCCCAGTTAATTTTTCCTGCCATGGTTCCAAGTGGAGTAAGGATTCAAACAATAGAGCAATTCAACATTATTATGAGGGTGATAAGTTCTCACAATGTTTTTTTAAGCCTTGTTTCTTGACAGCAGGGTCTCTCCATCTATATACAACAGATATTTTGAGCCTGGTAACTCTGCTATGATGTGGGAGACAGGGATATCAAGTGAACAGTAGGGTTTAGCAGAATACCTGGCCTCTACGCACTGAAGTTAAGTAGCAAACCCTCACCTTCCTTCCCCAAGTTGTGATAACCAATACCCTACAGTATCTTTAAAAATCCTAAAGGGAAAAACCACACCTCCCCTTAAGAATCAAAGCTTTATAGATGATTGCCTAGTTTTTCTTAACATATACCACCACTTTAAAAAGGTGGGGCGGGAGGCTGTAGGAATAGCTCAGTGGTAGAATGCTTTTCTAGAATACACAAAGGCCCTGGTTTGATTCTTGATGACATAAATGAAAAAATAATAAAAAACTAAAGTATGAAAGTGAGGGCAAGCTGGGCACACATGTAATCCCAGCTACTCCAGACTAAGGAAAAAGGATAGCAAGTCTGAGGCCAGCCTAAGCTATTTAGCAAAACCCAGTTTTAAAATAAAACAGGACTGGGTTTGTAGTTCAGTGGTAGAGCTGCCCTTGGGTTCAACCCCTAGTACCACCAAAAATAAACTCTTTAAGTTTTAAAAACTATAACCTAGATACGAGACCTGAATGAAAAATGTGTATGTCATTGGCTTACAGTACAAAGAATATGACAAAGATTCTCAAAACTGAGTTGAGAAAAGGGGTAAGAAAAAAATTGAACTTCTTTAAAAATGGGGGGAGAAAATGGAAGATGCCAAGGGTCCTTAAGAAAAGGAAGGGGCTGGGGTTTTGGCTCAGTAGAGTGCTCGCGAACCACGTGCAAGGCCCTGGGTTCAATCCTCAGCACCACATAAGAATATAGCTAAAAGGGTAAAGGATGGGGGGAGCCTGGAAATTGGGCAACTGAGGAACATAATAAATTCAAGCAAATAAGGACTGTGAGATTTGAAGCCAGCCTCAGCAACTTAGCAAGACTGTAGGCAACCTAATGAGACCCTGTCTCTAAATAAAAAACAAGAAGGGGGCCTAGGGATGTGGTTCAGAGGTTAAGCACCCTTGGGTTCAATCTCCAGTACAAATGAAAGAAAAAGAAAAAAAAAAAAAGAAAAAAATCAGTCACTGTGAATAAAAATCCTGCCCAAGAGGTCTCTCCAAAGGAATCACAGGAATACTTCAGCAATCTGAGATAACACATAAGGATGACTTACACAACAGAGATTATAATTTAAACATCTGAAGACACTGCAGGTGACACTTTAGTTGTAGTAATGAACAGACTAACTGGAAGCTGTTACAACCCTTATTCCTTATGCCAATGAGGGAGAAAATGCTTGCAAAAACACAATTGCCAATTGCCAAACAAATCAATTAACAACTTTATTTTTTACACATAAAGGCTGATGAAAAACCATTACTGGTCCTATTAAAGAAAATTCAACATTGCAATTAAGAATAAAAACTATTATTTACTCATTAAATACTACTTAAGTTTTCTAACACACAGCTTGAAAACATCCAGCATGCTTCTTTAATTTCAGTACAATGGATTTAAGACCAAGTTTACAGGTTACATGCATCAAAGCCAGATTACAAATTATCATAGTCATCATCATCATCATCGTCATCATCATCATCATCGTCACGTTTTCTTTTCAATGCATTTGATGATTCATTGGCAGTATTTTGTGAGGATACCATATTAGTAGTAATAAGAATGTTTTTGGACCCAATTAATGATGGATTAATCAGAACATTCTGAACTGCTGATGTTGCAGGAATTGAGGCTTTTACAGCAGGGGACTGTGAAGTAGGCATCTGTACTGTAAACCTTTGCCCTGTTAGAGACATTGGAGTCCCTACCTTAGTTGCAACAGACATGGTTTGTGGGGTTGGTGTGCCTAGTGTGGGAGTACTTGGTCTGCTAGTAACTGAACCAACACTTAACCGTGGTACTGTTATTCTTCCTGCAGAAGTAGATGCTTTCTTTTGTAAAGACTTGAGCCTATAGTTTGGAGCTGTTAGGCAATATCTATCAGGAGGCAATCTAGGACCCGAATATGGCTTGATCAATGGCAAAGGGGTTTGATTTCTTTGCCTTGCAATATCTAATAAAAAATCTCTCGGGGGAGGAGAGGTAAAAGACTGGTCAGCTCGACACTGGATTGCCAATCGCACATCATCTGCATCGACAGTAGCTTTCTTAGCATGGCTGGAATAAATTTTAGCATCATCGAGAATTGTGGTCACATATCGGAAGGCAAATTCCAACATCTGATTTATAACTCTTGGCTCATATTCTGTAATCCCCATATCCTTCAGGATTTGTGCCATCATCTGTGCATCTTTCGGCATGCTCTTGGGAGAAGCCATCTTGCCAGACTCCATGATATCCGGTGATCAAACTTTAGATCATTTGAAAAAAATATGCGCATTAGATCAAACCAAAATACTTTAGCAGCAACTGTTAGGAACTTAAAATTCTCTGAAAATGTTAAAAATTTAAAACTACACTCAAAATTTAAAACATGTTACATCATTTTAATGAAGCATACTTAAAGTTTGCTTTACTTAAATGTACTGAGATCCTACTCTGTATAAACTGCAGAATACAAAAAGATGAAGACACAAATATGTGAGTGATAAAAGATTAGGGGAAAACAGGGTAAATTAAGTAAAAACATGCACCCTTGTGGGAATATACATAGTCACACAGGCATGCAACTAAATACCACAGGACAGTCACACTTTACTAGTGAATTCAAAATAATCTGTTCTTCCAGTGAGAGCAATATACTCACTATCATATACATATGCTTACCACAATCCAAACCTTTGTCTGCTCAACTCGAAACATTCTTCCTCATATTCAGATTTCATTTAAATCTAATCTTATATTCAGATTTCATCTAAGTCCAATTATTACTGTTTACAGGATTGCTAGAAATTTTGTGGGAGGGAAGGGAAATAGTCAAACAGGGCATAGCTTTGAACACTTAATGTTTTTTATTTATGTGCGTTCCCAACACGGCATAGATTTCTTAACAATAGTTTCCTTCTATTTTTTGTACACTCACAACACCTAGTGGTACTAGCACTTCACTATTAAAAAAAAAAAAAAAAAAAAAAAAAAACTAACACCAAAATGTCCCTTACCTTCTTGAGCTAAATCACCCACATTAATGTATTTCAGTCCTGATCTTGATGCAAGTTCTTTGCCTAGTGTAGTTTTTCCAACCCCTGGAGTACCTGTAAGACAAGCCACAGAAAAATACTGTTCATGAGATACTAGACTTCAGCTGCCTTCTGCCCTAAAAGTTCTTAATAACTGATATTAAAATTTCCCTAATTAGCAATCCTATGTGAAGATACACCATGACCTAATTATAATTTCTCAGAGATGACCATATGTGAGAATCTCACTTGATGTATTTGGCATAGGTTTGAGCGACTCTTATACCAAAATTCTGCCTGCCACCAACATGGAGCTGCCCAGAATGAAACCAGTCATCTCCAATATATTACCATTGTTATTTGCTTTAATAATAAAAATAGGAGTAAGAAATCATTCATGAAAAAATTTTAAGTGGTATGAAGGACGTCTCATTACCACTGAGGACTCTTTATTCTTCCCTAGAAAGAACCACTGTAAACCAATTTCTTACATTATCGTTGCAAAAGTCGTATACAGATATGTATTATACATCGCTCTTTACCTTCCCCTTCTATATTGAATACAATTATATTCTAAGATAAGTGCATAATTTTCAGCTGCTCAGGTTTAATGCCACTGAAATGATTAAATCTGAGCATTGTAATTAAAGGGATAAAATCAAGTCTCCATATGCTTAAAGACAACATGATTGAACTCTGGCTCAATGTATTTTCAATAAAATGCAAGCACAAAATTTTTAAAAATATGGCTTAAAAAGCCAGGACACTATGTCTGACCCATGCAAACTAGACGTTGTAAAATCTTCCCCTTAAGGAACTTTTTTTTTTTTTTTGGTACTAGGGATTGAACCCAGAGCCTTTAATCACTGAGCCACATACTCGGGCCCTTTTGTTTTACTTGGAGACAAAGTCTCACTAAATTGCTGAGGCTGGCTTTGAACTGGGGAATCTTCCTGCCTCAGCTTCCCAAATCGCTGGGAATTACAGGGTTTGCGCCACCACATCCGGCACCTTTAAGGAATCTTAAAGGCTAAATATTCACTGATTGAGTGGTTAATCTGCGGCACTCAGAAACTGGCAAGACTCGCGTGCCGCCAACAAGTTTACGAATTGTTAAATGATAAAACTTTATGATGGGGTTGTAGCTCAGTGGTAAAGCGCTTGCCTAGCATTTCTGAGGCACTGGGTTCAGTCTCAGCACCACATATAACAAAATAAAGGTCCATCCACAACTAAAATATATATATTAAAAAACTTTTACTGCTTTATTTTCACAAAGATACTTCAACTTTTGTGTATGTTGCGATAACATATACAACCATTAGATCTTTGAGTATGGTCCTATTAACTGTTAGGACTTAATGAGTATTCTTAGAGTTAAATAATAAGCGAAGATATTGTTTAAAATCACTACGCTGCATTTCAGTTCCCTTTACTGATAATATGCACCCTGAGAATACCGAAAAGAACCCCACACGCACACCTACACGAAAAACGACCAGAGACGTTCAGGAGACACCATTTTTAACATTAAAAAAAAAAAAAACCTCCGATACTAACTCAACAAAACATATACAGTAAATTAGTCACACCACTCCACAAACATCTGAATTCATTTACCAAAATCGAATCTGAGGAGTGTTTGTTTCTCAGATACAAAGGAGAAAAGAGTCGACCCAGGAAGGCCTACGGAACAAGCCACCCACCATTAGTACATCTACGAAGGCCAGATACTCTTACATCACCTCAATAAAAACCCAGACCCAACCTTGCCAAAGAATCGACAACCCATTTCACAGAAAACAAACAAACAAACAAAAGCCACCAACCAAAAGCCAAAAAACAGATTCGAAAAGACGAAGCAGCCCGCAAGACGGGAGAGCCGAATCAGTCTACCTCTCCACCTCACCGAGGAGCGACTGGCCAACGGAATTAACGTTCCGCGTCCCCTCCCCCCTCCCGCAACGGTCGCGAGGACCCGGTCCTCAGGCCCCAACGACCGCCACGCCACGCCACGAGGCCCTCAACTTGCCCGGTCTGGAACACTTGCAGTCCAGAGCAAAGGCCAACCTTGCCTGTCCCTCCGCCCAGCCCCTTCCCGGCTGCGCGCGCTAACCGGTGAGCAGAATGTTCGGTAACAACATAGTCCTCCACAGCGACCACACAAGCGCCTAGGCTCACGCGCTCAGCGCAGTAGGGAGAGGAGCGGGAAGCGGGAGGCAGCTGCAAGCGCCTGGAGCCTTGGGGTCCTCGAGGCCCCGCGCAGCGTTGTCGACTCACCTCCTCAACCCAGCCACTGACCATTATTTACGTGGCCTTTTATGACACGTTTCCATTGCATGATCGCATTCAGAGGCACAACTCCGGTCTGCATTTCGGGTCAGGCATTATGTTGGGTGCCTAAGTCACTTTCTCCCCTGGTGGCCCCTCCCTTCGAGCTGCGTCGCAGAAGCGTCGGGCAGTCTGGAAGGTCCCCAGGAGGCGGGACCTCCAAAAGGCTGGGTGCTGAGCCGGGAAACGAACTGGAGGCTACCCTTCCACCTGGAGAAGAGTCTGGGCTCCTCGGTTCCTTTCCGCCCAGGAGGGGATGCAGCTCCTAGAAAGTAAGACAGCCGCGGCTGCGGCTGTATTTCTTATATGTCCTAGAGACTCGAGGCCATCTCTGCCTTCACGCCTGCTCGGCCTCTCGTCGCTCCTCCTCCTGAACCGCCCATCCCATTTGGGGATTAGAAGGATGGGGGGGCCGAGCTCTGACCTAGAGCGGAACTTGCGAGTCCGGCTCGTCGCTGGTTGCTGAGTTTTCTGGGAGTGAATGTCCGATCGTTTTGCCCTCTATGTAGTATGTGAGATGGTGGTAGGTTTGCTAGAAGTAGTCTTGAAGGTCTCTTCTACCTGTGAAGTCTGTTTCAAAAACCTGACATCGTCAGGGACAGTTACCTGCTTTTTAAAGGAGGTGATTGTCATCTTTTTTTCAAAGAGGAGACTCCTGACCTTAAAAAGTCCGCGTCTTCTATTTCGACCTGCCAACTGTTTACAAATAATTTTTTTTCATCAACATAATTTTTTGAAACTTTACAATCTAATCGGGAACTGTTTAGGTGTGCGAGGTGAACAATTTGTTTTCTGGTATGTGGAAGTGTTTTACTTTATAGTTTGTGTGTGCCTCCAAACCACAAAATAGTTAAGCACATCTTCGAATGTACGGGTTTGTAGGCTTAAAAGTTTCCTAGCTAATTTACTCAATTCACTAGTTCATAGAAGCATTAAGGAATTAGGAAAGCTGAAAAACACCACGAAATTCTATAATTACATGTTCAAATAATGAAGACAGTAGTAGAAATAATTTGCAGTAGGATTTAAATTAGTTGTCCAAACTGAGTGATAGCCTGAAATCATTGTATTTTCCTTTTTTGAAATTTGGAAATGAACTGATTTGAAGTGGAAAAAACTTCAATTTTCAGCATAAAATTGCTCAAATAGGATTGTCTTATTTTTCTTTATGACAAAAGTAGGTGCACAAATATGTGGTTTTCTGTTTAATATGTCACTGAGTTCACATGAAAAATTTTATAACAGCACAAATAGTTATTTGATACAGTCACAGTCATTAAATTTGAAACTTATTTTAGCATTTTGATCTTATACATTTACTACATTATCTCTCACTAGTTGTTGGTCTTAAAGGTTATTATGTTGATTATATCAGTATAAAATGACTACTATAAGTCTGTATTTACAGTTCTTTTTTTCTTTTTTGATTTGAGGTGTTTTTCTCCCCTGCCCAGGTGAATTATACTTTCATGCACTACAGGTTGTATACTACGGATGGAAACTATTAAAGTTTATAATGTCAAAAACTTTTCTTAGACCAAAGGTATCTTCCACAAAGGTATGAAACACTAAAATAGCCATATAAAAATTGCCTAAAAAGAATTACAAATTTTTTATATGTTCTTAATGATTTAACATTGCTATAAAGTAATGGTGCCCAGTGTTTGTTGTAGTTAGTGATCTAAATAGTCTAGTCATAAGTTATGAAACTGTACACTACAACCACAAACTTAATTTTGAAAAAGTTTTTAGAATCCCAGTCACAAGAAAAAGGCTGAAAACTTTTTAAGGAAAGAGCATAAGTGGAAAGATAAATGAGTGGTATTAGTGGTATTAACCACAGGTTCTGCCTCATGTGGTTCTGTATGTCAGTTCTCAGCAAAATTGTTTGGGTGTGAATGGGGGTCAGACAATATCATGTTCAATCAAGGTAGCAATTTCCCTATTGGTGGCTCTAATTTTTTTCTGATCTTAAATAAATGAGGCTGTGTCCCCCCTCCTCCACTCCAGTTGATGGGAGTCCACCTTGTGTAAAAAATAAAACTTTAAAATATAAAGAATAAATCAGAATTGCTATAAAAGGTTTTAATTATAACAAAGAATTGTTTTCATATACTTTTAAATATAGTGGAAAGGCAAAAATGATACTATCAGAGATAGTCTTTTGACTAGGAGGAAATATGTTGGGTTACTGTGATTTAAATTTTTTTCCAGTGGTTTTTCTTCCTTACCCACTGCTGTTAATATTCCTAACCCTCTGTCTTCAAAGAAGAGTGAAGTGTAGGGGATGTAGCTCAGTGGTAGAGGGGTTGCCTAGCATGTGTGAGTCCCTGGGTCTATTCCCAGCACCATCAAAAAAAAAAAAAAAAAAAAAGACCAAAGAGTGACCTAGCATTCATAAAACACTCATAAGCACCAAATTGCTTCTCCTGAGCCTACTTTTACTCTAGCTTCTGGTTCTTTTTCTTCTAGAGAGTAGCATTATGTAGTAGACAGCTCAAATTGTAGCTATATCAGTAAAACCTTTTTAATGCTCCAGAATACTTTTAGGTTAAAACTTTTTATTTTTTTTTAATATATTTTAGTTGTTGATGGACCTTTATTTTATTTATTAATTTATATGTGGTGCTGAGAATCTAACCCAGTGCCTCACACATGCTAGGCAAGCGCTCTACCACTGAGCCACAACCTCAGCCCTAGGTTAAAATTTTTTAATTCGGCATCTTTATATGCAGTTAACAAGGATTTTAAGGTCAGTCTGGTAACACATACCTGTAATCCCAATGAGGCTGAGGCAAGAGAATCACAAGTTCTAGGCCAGCCTCAGCAATGTGGCAAGGACCTAAGCAATGTAGCAAGGCCGTGTCTCAAATTTAAAAATAAAAGGCTTGGGATGTGACTCAATGTTTAAGCACCCCTGGATTCAATCCTTGGTATTAAAAAAAAAAAAAAGATTTTAAAGAAAAGGAAATTATGGAGAGAAATCAGAGAGGTCAGCAGTTTTTATAGACAAGAAGAACATGAAATAGAATTTACTGATTTTCCTGCTCTATTATTCTAGTACTCTTTTTTTTAAATTTTTTTTAGTTGTCAATAGACATTTGTTTTATTTATTCATATGTAGTGCTGAGACTCGAATCCAGTGCCTGACACATGCTAGGCAAGCACTCTGCCACTGAGCCACAACCCCAGCCCCCCAGTATTCTTTTCTTCATGGGTATTTCTATTACAAATCTCATCTTCCTTGGAAAGCCTGTCTCACTTTAAAAAATTTTAGTGGCTTCATGCACTGAATAAAAATAGTGCTGTTATAATTGTAAATGTTAGTATTAGAATCTTCACCTTTGTCTTTTTTTTTTTAATTTTAATATTTAGTTGTAGCTGGACACATACCTTGATTTTATTTATTTATTTTTGAGGCGCTGAGGATCAAACCCAGGGCCTTGCATGTTCTAGGTGAGCGCTCTACCACTGAGCCACACCCCAGCCCTATTTTTGCAGTCTTAAGGTTGATATGTATTATTTGGATTATGAAATGGTTCTTAGTTTTTTAATATATTAACCTGTCAGGCAGAAGTGTTATTCTTCTTACTGCTATGTCTAGTTAAAATAATATTAATTATTTTGTTCTGCTTTTTTAATAGGTCATTTTAGTATTTATGTTTCAGTCATCCAAGAGTTAAGAAAAATCATTCTTTATCCTGGAAAGATTAAAATTTATGTATGATATTTTATTTCTATTAATTGTCTATTAATGTAACAGCAAGTTTTATATAAAAATAATTTGTGAGATTTTTATTTTTTAATTTATGAATATTTTCTTTTTAGAGTAGTTCAATTATATAGGGAAAAGATTGAAAAATGTAATAATGGTTAACATAAGGTTTTTTGTTTTTTTTTTTTTTTCAGGTAATAGACTGGGTAGACCCAGCATTTGATGATTTTTCAGAGAATACAGTTGTCTCTACTGCAACACCTTTAGGTGTGAATAACTCAAGTCATAGAAGAAAATATGTGCCTCCTGCATTAGAAAGTAGCAGATTTCCAGCTAGAAAAAGAGGAAAGCTATCTTCCTCAGAACAGATTTTTGGTCTAGAAAACTCAAAAGAATATCTTTCTGAAAATGAACCATGGGTGGATAAATATAAGCCAGAAACTCAGGTACTAAATAGCATACAAAGATGTCTACATAATTTAATTTCAGGATGGATGGGAAGGAGAGGAATGTCCATTTTCAAATTTTTAGTTATAAGAAACTAAGTGAAGTAAGGAGAAAAAAACAAATTTCTAGATTATTTTTAATGTTCTAAGGCATTTTATCAGCAGTAATACTCTGTCTATTCCCTACCTTAAATGTATTTCTGGATTTTCAAAAGTTTTATAATTGCAGACTTATCCAAAATTATACAGTGATAGCAGTATAAGGATAGAGTTTTTTCCAGAATAATCTAAAAATTCAAGTATAGTCCAAAAGACTCTATTCCAATATAGCATGTTAATGTTTTACTTTTTTTTTTTTTCACTAAAAATGTTTAGGTTAATAGGTGCTGGTATACCAAAAAATCAATGAGTTAGAAAAAAATTTTTAACTGAAATTTTTATCTTAGCATGAGCTTGCTGTGCATAAAAAGAAAATTGAAGA